GGCTGCACAACAGGAGGAGAAAGCAAAGGAAGCCAACAACACACTGCAGCAAATGAGAGATGAGTGGGCCACCTGGATGCAAACCTTTGCTAGGTTTTTTTTTTTTTTTTTTTTTTAAGCATCATTCATCCTTGTCACGGCCATTAAGCCGCTTGAACATTTGCTTCTATACTTCTTTTTGTTTTTCTCCTTCTAATGATGAACATGAATTTATTTGCTTGCTTTATTCATGCTGCCCATGGCTTTGCAAACAAAGCCGCTCTAAAACACAAATGTAAGAACATGCCATGCCTCCTTGGCAGCACCAAGTCTTATGTATGCTTCCATGGTTCAAGCCAAAACTCTACGTGTCATTATTGAAAGAAAAACAACTTGAATCAAATAATATACCAATGTCTGCAAACTTGGATCATGTAGACATGGAGGCAGAACTATCCCGTGCCTCCCACACAATCGGATAATATGGTTTCAAGTAGATGCCATTGATCTTGCATGAATGCAACTCCCCATTCAAAGACTTTAACCAATAAGCACCCCCTTTAAGAACTTTATGAATTTGGAATGGTCTTTCCCAATTAGGGGACCACTTACGATATCTAGGATCCTTCTTTCCAAGTGGTAGCACGGCCTTCCAAACCCAGCTTCCTTCGGCTAAATTCTTTTGCTTAACCCTTTTGTTGTAAGCTCGTGCCACTTTAAGCTTCTGAACTTTCATCACATCCAATGCTATCAACCTTGCTTCCTTAAGGTCTTCCAACTCCATGATCATGGCCTCATTGTATTCCCTAGAATTCAAGCCATTTTGAATTGCAATCCGTAGAGACCTTGTCGTTAATTCCATAGGCAAGACAGCATCATGACCATAAGTAAGCGAGAATGGGGTCACCTAAGTTGAACTTCGTTGTGAGGTTTTGTATGCCCAGAGAGTATCTAAAAGAAGCTCATGCTATCTCCTGGGATTATCATCAACCATTTTCTCCAGGATGTTGATGATAATCTTATTAGATGCCTCTGCTTGACCATTTGCTTGTGCATAATGCAGAGATGAATTAAGCAAATGAAATCCCATGTCTTTTGCAAAGGCCTCTACTTTAGATCCAACAAAAGTAGTACCTTGATCAGAAGTGATAGTTTCTGGAAGAACAAACCTGTGGATCAGATCCTCTTTTATGAACTTGATGGCATCTCCTTACTCAACCTCCTTCATAGGCCTTGCCTCCACCCACTTAGTAAAGTAGTCTGTAGCAACTATTATGAAAGAATGACCTTTAGAAGAAGGTGGATAAATTTTCCTAATCAAATCAATTGCTCAGCCACGAAAAGGCCATGGCTTGACAATAGGATGTAACTCAGAAGCTGGCGCTCGCTGCAAAGGACCATGTAGTTGACAAGCTCTGCAGCCCTTCGCATAATTGATGCAATCCTTAAGAATAGATGGCCAAAAGAAACCATGCCTTCGAATTAGCCATCTCATCTTAGTTCCTGCCTGATGAGCACTGCAAATACCATTATGAACATCTGACATCACATGACAACTTTTATCAAGACCGAGGCAACGCAATAATAATTCATCCTGCCCCCTACGATACAGAACATCCCCAAGTAGCACATAGTTTAAAGCTTGCATCCTCGTTCTTTTTGATGTTTTAGAACTGGGATTCCTTAAATGTTCTATTATTGGATGCCTCCAATCTGTAGGTGTGACATCTATTGAGCATGCTTCCACCGTTATCCCTCTTTGATGAATTGAAGGCAGCATACGTTTTTCAATGATAATCACTTTCTCCATGATGCCTTTAGGCATTTTTACACCTGAAGCAATCTGCGCAAGTTCATTTGCTTCAATATTCATGTTGTGAGGAATATGCTTCAGGGAGGCATCATCAAATTCCTCCAATAGTTGGATGGCAATGGCAAAATATGGAGACAAAACCATGCTTGTATACTTGTATTCGCCACTCAATTGTTTAAGAACTAATTGAAAATCACCCACAATTTCAACCGATGGCACCTTCAACTCTACCAACAACTCAAGGCAAATTACCAAAGCTTCATATTCTGCTTGGTTATTGGTGCATTCAAAATCCAACTGAAAACACCATTGGGTTTTTATGCCATCTGGAGAAACAATAATAATTCCAGCCCCAGAGGCTTGATCAGTCATAGACCCATCAAAAATAAGCCTCCAAGGAACCAAGTCAATCGAAAAGAGATTGATTCCTTTTTCTTCATCAACGTTAACATCTAAACAAGGATGACCTGCTAAAAAGTCTGCTAAAGCCTGTCTTTTAACGGCTTTCTGAGGCAAATATCTCAGATTAAATTCAGTAAGTGCAAGGATCCACTTACCAATGCGGCCTCTTAAGAGTGGCCGCGACAGCATATATTTTATGACATCAGTTTTTGAAACAACAAACACCTCCGAATACAATAAATAGTGCCTTAATTTTATTGTTGCAAAGAATAAAGCCAAACACAATTTCTCAATTGAAAAATATTTCACTTCAATCGGATTCAAAACTCTACTCAAATAATAAACAGCTTGTTCTTGTTTATTATTATTCTCTTGCGTCAGCAGACAGCCAATTGATTCATCCACGGCGGATATATACAGCAATAAGGGTTTATTCTTAACTGGAGGAACCAACATAGGTGGCTTGGACAAGTATTCCTTGATGGCATCAAATGCGGCTTAGTGCTGCCTCTCCCATTTAAAATCTGCATCAGGCTGCAACTTCAAAAGAGGTGAAAAGACACTAGTTTTGCTCGCCAAATTAGAGATAAACCTTCTTAGGAAATTAACCTGACCAAAAAACCTTTGTAATTCCTTTTTATTTTGTGGTGGCCGCGCTTCAATTACGACCCTTGCTTTGTTTTTGTCCACCTCTAAGCCTCGTTCATGGACCAAAAAACCCAAAAAGTTCCTTGTTGTAACACCAAAAGCACACTTGAGAAGATTCATCTTCAAACCATGCTGTCGCATTCTTTCAAAAGCTTTCCTCAAGTACTCCAAATGTTCTTCATCCTCCATGGATTTAACAACAACATCATCAATTTAAATCTCCATGAAGCGGCCAATCATATCATGGAAAATTGCATTCATGGCCCACTGATATGTAGCTCCTACATTTTTCAACCCAAACGGCATCACGACCCATTCATATGTACTTATGTTTCTAGGGCAGCGAAACGTCGTTTTACTTATGTCTTCCTCTGCAATAAAGATTTGATTATAGCCACTATGCCCATCCATAAAAGATAAAATGTGATGGCGTGCAACCCCATTAACAAGTAAATCTGCTACTGGCATGGGGTATTCATCCTTTGGTGTGGATAGATTTAAGTTTCGAAAATCAATGCAGACTCTGAGCTTTCCATTCTTCTTCACTACTGGAACAATATTAGACAACCATTTTGAGTACCTGGCTGTCCGTATAAAACCAACTTTATGCAGCCGCTCCACTTCTTCCTTCACCTTCAAAATCACTTTTGGAGACATACGGCGTGACGGCTGTTTATACGACTTATATCCTTTGTTGATTGGTAGTTTATGCTCTACCAACTCTCGGTCTAAACCTGGCATCTCAGAATAATCCCAGGCAAAGCAGTCTTTGAATTCATGTAGTAAACAGATTATTTTATCTCGCATCTCTGGCGATAGCAAGCCACTAACAAAAGTAATGTGTGGCTCTGCCTTCGTTCCCAGATTAACTTCCTTCAATGGATCTTGTACATCGGCCCTAAGGTCATCCATCTTCACAGGGGCCAGATCTAACTCTTCCATTGTGACTCCATCGTTATGGGTGTCTCATCACCTTCATGTACCACCTCCGACAGATTTGCTTCTCTATTTCTTTCAACAAAATAGGCCGTTAATTTCTTTAGAATTTCAAATACGACCTCCTTTCTTTCTCTGTTTATCCTAGACCTCTTCATAATAACTCCTCAATTTTGGGCTTTTCTTGCGGCCTATATGGAATAATGACAATAGGTCGCAAGAGTTCATTGCATACCTCGTCAACCACATACTTAGCCAAGGTAGGCTTGTTGCAAGAAGTGATTCCACGAGGTCTTCCTTGTCTATCCATGCCAAAGAAATGGATGGTTCCTACGTCTTCATCATAGTACCGTGCTTCCACCATAATGGAATTGGCTAAGAATGGTCTGTTATCAGCATAAACCACCTCAGTTTTGCCTCCATTCCAAAAAATGAGTCTTTGATGGAGAGTAGATGGAACACGCCGATTTGAATGGATCCAATCACGTCTCAGTAAAACATTATAAATTGCAGAAGAGTCTACAACAAAGAAAGCACTCATTGACGTCTTGCTGCCGACAGTAAGTGCAACCGGCAGCACTCCTTTTGATTTGCTAACACCACCTGTGAAATCACTGATGGTTATGCCATTATAAATTAAGTCCTCATAATTTTTACCCAAATTCCTCAGCATAAAAGAAGGTATGACATTGACTACTGCTCCATTATCAACAAGGACTCGATTCACTGGAACTCCATCCATATGAGCTGAAATATAGAGTGGCTTTATATGACGAGCCACACTTTCATCTAGTTTGTTAAAGATAATTTATTCTGAAAGGATATCATTCTCCTCTTCCTCTTCTTGGGCTGGAACCTCTATCACTTCTTCTTCAACAACCATGATGCCCTTGGAAACATGGGTAGGAACATGGGTAGTCTCGCTGCCCTTGGCTTGAAAAACCAAAGGAAGCGTGAGAACCAAACAAGAGAGATTAATAGAGATGTCACCGATCTGCAAAACATCCATGTCCTCAAAAAGATTATCATCGCTAGTCAACTCTACTTGTTGATCTACTTCAAAGGTTGCCTTTAACTCATTTTCATTGACGATTAGTGAGGTGAGCTTAAGAGGTGGCACTTCCGGCTGAGATTCATTTTGGACAGCAACCTCTTTACTCTCCTTTCTCTTCCACACCATCCTTCCCTTTACAAGAGAATGTTGTAGAACCTTAACTTCCTTAGTAGCTAATTGTTGACAGCGACATGCCTCTGCTCGCTTCCGCTGCAACCTTCTTCTCAAAGTTCTAGGATTTTTCACAGGTTCTTTTAGAAACTTGGGATGCACAACCTTCTCCCACCTTTTACTTGGAGGTCACTGTGGAGGCTTAACCATATGAGAGCGATCTGTATGTCGAGCCTCCTTCATCCTGGATCCGGATGCATAGATTCTGGCAGCATGGTGTTGCCCCCCGAGCCTTTGATTCTGTTGGGCACGACGTTCCCTTTCCTTCTCAATCACCTAGCGAAGGTCATCTGCAGCCACAGTTCGCCCTTTATACGTCCTTCGAGAGATGCTTCTTATGTCAGCAACATTAACTCCAACATCAACGTTCGGAAAAGGATTCTCATCAACCCCCATGGCTTCCTTGGGTTTTTCAGGGAAACGAAGCAGCCCTTTGTCAATCTTATCCTGCAACACATTTCGAAAAATAACACAGTCATTAGTAGAGTGTTTCCAGGAGTTATGAAACTTACAGTAATCTTTGGATGCAATTTCAACAACCGTCGAGAGCCTATGCCCCTGCGACAGCTTAATATGTCCTGACTTTCAAATAATCAAAGATTTCATTTGCTTTAGTCACATTAAATGTGTATTGTCTCCCAGATTCATACGAGAGACGCTTTGCAACCACCTCAACCTGTTAAGTGACTTTCACTAGATTAGGGCAAGTTACTGGCTTGTCTGTAAAGACCTCGGCAACATCAAGGTCAAAAGCATCTTGATAATAAGTTCCTTGCGATGCTGCCTTTCTTTGGAATTCCTCTCTTAAAAGGTTCTCATAACGTGCCACCTTATAAGAGAGCTCAAAGAAGTCTCTGAATTCCATCCCCTCAAACTTCTTTCAAAGTTCAATGTCTAAACCATTCTGAGCAAGCTTCACCAACTCTTGCTCTGGTAAGGCAACATGACACTTCATTCAAGCTTTTCTAAACCGCATAAGATAATTTTCAGAAGATTCCCTTGGCTGTTGAGTTAATCTAGAAAGATCAGCCATGGATACCTCAGGCTCTGAGCGATAGAATTGAATATGAAACAAATCTTCCATTTGTCTCCAGGTAAATACAAAATTTTGCGGCAGACTTAGGTACCATGTCAGTGCAGTACCCGTTAAAGAACTTGGGAAGAGTCTCAACTTCAAAAAATCATCACCCGATGCCTCCCCACATTGAATAGTGAACCTACCAATGTGTTCAATGGTTGACTGACTCGTGTCCCTAGAAAACAAAGTAAATTCAGGCATTTTGAATCCACGAGGAAATGGATTATCCCGATCTATGTAATCTGGATACGGCTTGTGATAAGAAGGACGAACCAATGGTCTTAAAGCTGGACCATATGTCTCCTGGACTAGATCAATCAGTTGATTTCTATCCAAGGGAAGGGATGCTGCTTGCAGCCCTAATGGTTGAAAGGCATTATTCTGAAAGTTGGGGTGTGGGGCTGCATTTGGACGACGTGCAGGAGGTACATATCTTTGTTGATTGGCGTTGAGTTGCTCAGCTGCACGGAATGCTGCTTCCACAGGATCTTGTGGTCCAAGGATGCCACCAGCAGGATTGTTTTGTTGCTGCCTATTGAACTGCACCTAGACTACACCAAGAGCATTATTTTGAGCATTGGGCATCTGTTGCACCACATGTGGCTGATTAATATGCCCCCTGGGCAAAGGATCTAGAAGATTTTGCTGTGGCGATTCCATTGCTGGAGGTATGGGTTGCCTTGGAACATTTTGTTGCTGTCGAACATATTCTATGGTTTTCTCAAAAACTGCAGTGAAGGTTCTGCGACTTTCTGCTACTTCTTCTCGAATAGCTCTAAATTTTCATTAATGGCCCTTTCAATAACATTTAGATATTGAATGAAATGATCTGAATGTTGTCGTTGGGCTTGTAGAAAGCTTTCTAGACTACGCTCTATGTTCTGATTGGCTTCTTCTTGCAGCTTCCTTATCTGCTAAAGTTCTTGAGATATTTTATTGCTTGACTCAGCAGAATCAACTTTCTCCTCATCATCATTGCGATATATGGGATTGCCATATGAGCGATCAGCCAAGGGAAAAATAGGTGGAAGATGCTTCGGACTATTTTCACCTTCAGAATGTCTTGGACTCATAGGAGCCACTTCCACTTGTTGTGCAACTTCTTTTCCAACTCTCCTAGGCATGGCTATGGCTGCTTTATGCCCAGGAAAAGCAAAAAGAGGATCAAAAAACTTTTCTTGATAGACGATCGCCAACAGGAGGTCCCACCAGGCGTGCCAAAAAGAGATTGTTGTCCCAAAAAATCTTCGTGACACGTGGCAGATGAAATGGCGTGCCACTTGCTTTGCTCAAAACAAGAAAGATTTCTCCGACAACCCTCTCTTTTTTCCAAGTGTGGAACTCAGCTTGTGAGTTGATGGAAGAACGTCGTAAATTGCGCCTTAAAGATCAGACGATTAGCAAAAACGAGGGATGAACTTCCTGCACTAAATGGGTTATACGGCAAAATGCCCTGGATATGATTCCAAGGACTCCTCAAAGCTAATGTAATCAAGAAAAGTTAAGACTGCAAGGAAAATAAATAATCACTAAACTACTAAAAATCTAAACAAACTTTAAATACGCAAACTAGATTGAAACAAAGCTTTAAAAGAAATTTTAATTGCAGCAAAAGTAAATTAAGTTAAAGTAAATAAAACCAGAAACAAGGAAAATTTACTGGCAGCATGAAATATAAATTAATAGAAATGGAATTAAACATGAAATTAAATGTCGACATCATTTGATTTAATTAAAGGAAACTTGGAAAATAGAAAAGGAAAGGAAGCAATCCAATCACAAAGAAATCCTACTAAAGGCAATGAAATTCACCATTACAAATCTGACTAAAGGAGAACTGAATTGCTAAACTAATCTAAGTTGAAGCGTAGAGCTAAAACTAAATTAAAAGGCTTGAAAGTAAGATGATTATGAGCATAAAGAGAAATTGTGCTGAGTTTGTTGTGTGAGATGTCGATCCTTTGCTTGATCTTATCATTAGGTATTTATAACACCTTGGCAGCATGGTGGAGATCTGCGGCAACATCCTGAAAAACCAATGGCAGTGTGATATCTGCAACAAATTGATTAATTTGTTGGTGCTGCGATTATCTTCTTGGAAGCTCGCAACACGAGAACGGTTTTGCTGTCGTTGTGGAAATAACCACTCAATCTCATCTAAAGAAATTCACACCAACTTTCAACTAATAAAATATCTGCCATCATGGGTGATACGTGGCAGCACTCCATTTGATGTAAAATTAGGTGTAAACAGAAGTATATGAATTAAATATAAGAAATACTTCCCTACCTATTATCAGTTTTAGATTAGATATAAGTTTTGTATTAAAACTCAAAAACATAATTTTCAGAGACATAAGCTCTATTATTGAAAAACTCATTGTTAGCTTATTTGACAAGATCTAAAGTTGATATTAACCTCCATGTAAGGAACCTGACATTCATTGTGGGCTTCCACCATCTATTGTCAATTTTACAACAATTACTAATTAATTTTAAGTTAAATATAAATTTTATATTAAAATTCATATACATAATTTTCACACTGATACACTTATCCCAAACATAAATTAAGGATTACTAATCCTTGACAAACCAACGTCTGGCTGTAGAGTCTGTATTCTAATTAAGACCGAACAAAACAGTGAGATGAATCAGAGCAGCCTCTGGCAATCGTGGCCCACCAGTCAGAACACTACCATCACTATTGTCATCAGTTGCGAAGCCACATGGAGAGTAGGGGGGCGATGGCCCCCCCTGGGATTTGAAAAAAAAAATTATATATAATTAATTTATTAATTATTATTAAAATTTTAAATATTA